CCTCACAGGCGGATGGTGGCCTACCTCACAGGCGGTTGGCGGCCTACCTCACAGGCGGAAGGTGGCCTACCTCACAGGCGGATGGTGGCCTACCTAACAAGCGGATGGTTGCCCACCTCACTGGCGGATGCCCTTGTAGCACCAAACATTCAGACTACGTTCTGAGAACGTTCTTGTGGTTCTCTGAAGGTTCCGTTAACGTTCTAAGAACGATACGTGCTACAAGGGTGGTGTCGTCTCACACGCGGGTAATGGCCTTCCTTGCGAGCTAAATGTGGGGATCCATAGTGGCCTTTGTTAAAGAATTGGAAATAGTTTACGCCCTCGACTTTTTGAATGCAGGCTGATAGAAATAGGCATGCGTCACCAGTGTATGCGCCGAATCTCGTAGATGTAGTGAGGCATCGAGTCGGGTGTACTGTTTCACTCGACCAGGTCGGACACGAGAGTCCCACGGGTCCCGTGGACGAGGGCCTAATAGCCACGTGATGACACCATACTTTGTCGGGGCCTGGGGGTCTCGTCGTCGCTGTTTGACGAAGGCTTGTCATGAAAACTGGTGGCGCGGCCGAGTTCTCCACCCTGCAAATTATTTTCCCCCGTTGTTCTGGGCGCTTGTCGGCGCGCGGCATCGCGTTCTGAGGGGCCATAAACCACCGGGGCGGAAACGCATGCCCCTCCCCTTCCCTCCCCTTCCCTTATGCCTCCTTCCCCCCACCACCTCCCTCCCGGGTCCGGCTGTCAGGCTTCCTACCACTTTTGCATTTTGTTGTCGCGTTTCTTACCTTGCAGATCGCCTTTGGAGTGCCGCCACAAGGTCAGGGGCTGAGGGTGGGAGAGGTGTAACAAGTTGCCCCCACCCCCGTCTTGGACGTCTGTGGGATTTGGTTTATAGCTGCGTTATTTTGGCATACACTCAATGAATGGATATTTAGTTAAGTGTCGTGTCCAGTGTTAGACCAATACTAAAGAGCATGGTGTCGAGTTTCGTGTCTAGATACATCTTAGGTGAGATAAAAGAAATTCATGAACTTAGAAATTGTGTTATTACTCATCATTTTAGTAATCCTAGGAGATTAATGTGAATCATTGAGGTGTAAAAAGAAAGTCCAAAAGTGAACAATGATTTTTAGAAAGAAAAAAAGGCGAATACTATCGACCGTGTTTAATCTTGCCCTCTCATCGCCGCATGCGCGCAACGCCCCGAGCGTGGCGCGTACAACGACAACCACTACAGCGGGGGTCTAAATTTGATGCCCTGCAAACATTTTGGATAGTGAACAACATCTCTGGAACAACCTTTCATCGTTATAACGACGCTTTATTTTGTCATCGCTGCATGTTAGTGATGATGATTTTTTTCTTTCACTTTTAGGTGATGGTTTTTGGTGGCGGTTTACTCTGTCATTGTTTGCTTTTACATCCTCTTGACTCATTACAGTGCTTCCTTGTGCGCTTTTTCATGCGTTTTGATCCAGTAGCGTTTAAGGAAGGGCACTCTTTGCATTAAGCCTTCATAGTTTCGATGTGGCGCACTCTTTCTGTGTGATCTGTCAGTGAAAGTGTTTCGTGTTGTGTTTCAGTATTTCCAACGCAACAGCAAGCTATCGGATGTAAACAGAAGACTGAAAAGCCAGATCTGGAGTTCAGTGGTGACCATTGTACTCGTGGAGGGTCGCAATCTTCTTCCAATGAACATGGAAGGAACAAGCGATCCATTTTGCAAATTCAGGTAACGTCATTTTACATACTAAAGAAAGGTATTTCTATGACCACATTCAAAGAGCACTTCGTAATTTCCATCTTTTCCCAGGCTCGGCCAAGAGAAATACAAGAGCAAAGTGGCTTACGGAACGCTCAGCCCCTCGTGGCTGGAGCAGTTTGACCTGCACATGTATGACGACCAGAGCCAGGAGCTCGAGGTCACGCTCTGGGACAAGGAGAGGTCAAAGGACGACTGCATCGGCAGGCAAGTATTTCGCCTCCTGCTATGCGTTGTATCGAGAGAACTAACGAGGAGTTTTCCCCTCGGAAACGTCTATGCAATACAGTTGCAAGACGGGAGAGGGTGTCCTGGAATTCGCGTGCTCCTCCTTCCTTCCTCTCTTGTTGCAAACATCTCCCTCAGTCTCGTCTCCTCTCTTTCCCGCGCTCTCACTACTCGTTATCGACCGCCTGCCCCCCTCCCTTTTTACCCCCCGCGAGCAGGCTGCCTCCGCCTTTCCTTTGGGGTCGTGCCGTGCCGCCCCCTCCCAGTTCCGCCCCTGTTTAATTTGCGCCAGCCTGTGCTTAGCG